CCATAAACTCCTTGATCAGGTTCCAGCTCACTGTTTTTGGCAGGAATGTGCCGTAGGTGGAGTTGGGTGCTTCCTGTCAGGAACTTCAGGAGGCACATCATGTCTGTTTGTGTCTAAGTTCTTAAGATTTCTCAGTGGCTTCAGGCAGCAGCCTGATCCAGTCACTGGAAAATTTCCCTGGTGGTGCAGCTGCCACTGCTGATCACTGCACAGAAGCAGCCCTTCCTTAGGGTCACAGGACAGCGACGATACTCTCAGTTTTATCACGCCTGCATTTATTAACTGGAGTTTGCTGATTAAGCAGAAAACTCAGTTTTCCCTCATTAACTAATTGGTCTCTCTGAGGACAATTTAGACAAAAAATCAGTCAGTATGCTTCTTTCCCTTTAAGTTTTCAGAATATGGAGTACTTTTTGAGGTTTCATCCCCACCACAACGCAGAGGAAACTGATTTTACAGGTGAGGACACAGGTCAAGAGAAAGCTCGAGCTTGCATCCCGAGGCAAGGACTGGGGCTGGCGTGCCACGCTGGGTCTTCAAGCCAGTGATGGTTCCACAAAGGCCGCAGTGTCTTCTCTGACTGCCTTGTGACTTGACAACTGTGGGAATTATGGAAGCAGTTGGTAAACCACGAAGGCAGGGCTTGCCATTTCTATCTGTTAGCACTGGGTCTTCCTTGAGGCTGCCGCAGTTTCACTGTGTGTGTCTTGACTTCCCAACAAAACAGGAACTCCTGTGGGCAAGGCCACTCTGCCGCGTGTGATCAGCAAGCAGCCCCTCCCCTCACCTGGTGCAGCAATGGACCAGGACCACCCTCCACTTTCTTTTCCTGTTCTCCCTTTGTGAGTCATGCCCCCTGCCAGCTTTAACTGCTCCCTGGCTCTACAGCCTGACCACTGCCATTTCCGGCCCTGGCAGACTTTGAGTGCTGGCCCTGAGCACCTATTCAGGTCTACCCATTAGGTCAGCCTTTAACAGGCACCCCAGACTCTACTGGCAAAAGCCACACTCGTCCCCATTGCTCCAACCCTCCCTTTCTCTCCCAAACCCCATCTTCTCAGTTGCCAGCATCACGGTTCCTCAGATTTCCCAGCTAGAAACTCAGCTGCCTTGGACCCCCATCCCATCCCCACCCCCCAGCATGTATCGGACTGAAGCAGATGCTGACATGAAACTTTGGGTAAAAGATGTTTATTGAGGATCGAAGGAAGGAAAGTTGTGAAAGGAAGATGGATTGGGCATCTGCGACGCAGGCCCAACCAGGCACGGGCTGACAGCAGGGACCTCTGGGGCACGTAGTGCCCACTGGAATAGTCTCACAGAGGGCTGAGCAGGCCCGCCCTCTGCCCCTCCAGGCCCCTCACAGCCCTCCTGCCCCTCTAGTTCATATCTCCCCCTCCATCATTGCTTCCGGTGTTCCAGCCACACCATTCCCCAAACAGATACAGCTCCACACCCCCGTGCCATTGCATGGACTACTTCTTGCTTGGAACGTGCTTTGTTTGCCCACTTCTATCTTCTCTGTGAGCCTCTCACCTTCCTGCCCCTTACCTTCTCCAAGGAAGAATAAATCCCATAGTTGTCTGCATACACCCATCATAGCACCAACCACATAATATTCCGTTATTGGTGTCCAAGCCCCTGTGCTGCCCAGACCACCAGCTTCCAGTGGGCAGGAACTGTGGGCTACTCAGCGATGCTCCCCGGCTCCCAGCAGACTGCCTGGCATGCAGACAGTCAGCACTGACTGCTGATCTCGAATTGTAACAGCTGTGGTTACATAGAACCAATCCACAGCAGCTTGTTGGGTTTGAAATTTTGCCCTAGATCTCCCAAACAAAAGAAACGAGTATTGAATTTGAGAGCTATTTCAACATTTCGATTTTATTTTATTTAAGAACTTGTTATTTTTGTCTCAAAAAAATACAAAATTCATCGTGCAAAATTCATCCAGATAAATGTTCTAAGTCCCATATGGTACAAAATACCTTTCCCAAATGGAAGATGGAAGAGGAGGGTTTCCTATACCTCAACATAGCACATGCAGAAGAGCGGGCTCCACAGGGCCTGGAGGCCGCATGTTATGTGGGGTTTGGGGGCATTCTGAGGCCAGCTGTGAACTATAGGCCTCAGGCAAGACACATCTCTCAGAGCATCGGGTTACTGCCTGTAAAATGGGCTTGTTTCAAAGCCTCTCTTTTCAAAAGTTGTAGTTCGTGTGTTTTATTAATAGACTTTATTTTTTAAGAGCTAAAACAATAGCAGATAATACAGAGTTCCCATATACCCCTCTCCGTGGCACAGTTTCCCCTGTGTTAGTTAGTACATGTTTGCAGGCTTATCTGTAGGATAAATTCCTAGACTCGGGATTGCTGGGTCGAGGGGTAAGTGTATCTGTAATTTTGTAAGTAATGAACCCCACGTTGCCTTCAGAGGATTGCACCATTGTGAACTCCCACCAGCCATGCGCGAGAACTGAAACCCCTTTGACCTCTAACAGTTTTTGTTCTCCCTGCTTCCCAGGACTCAGGCCCAGTGTGTAACTTTGTGAGGAGTTTCTCAAGAAGTGGGCTCCCCTGCCAGCCACAGCCAGCTGTACCACATGCAAGAGAACTCGAATAGGACAGAGAGAGTTTGCAGGCAGGACTTCCAGGTTTCCAGTGCAGACGCTTTCTGCTTTCTACGTGCAGTGAAGCCGCAAAGCTTCCAAAGTCACATTTCCCTGGAACCACGCACTCAGATCGGTGTGGCTGACCTGCACAACACCTGTGTTTGCCTGTCACCTAAAAGTGAACCGCCAGACCAGCCCGTGCTATTCCGTATGGCTGACACTTGCACAGGTGCCTATTAAAATGTCAAATAATTAAAATTAAATAAAATTTAAAACTCAGTTCTTCAGTCTCACTTGCCACATTTCAAGTGCTCAATAGCCACAGGTAGCTAGCTAGTCAGTGGCAAGTCCCAGGGGTGTCCAACCTGCAGCTCTCGGGCCGCATGCTGCCCAACACAAAATCGTAAATTTACCTAAAACGTTGCGAGATTTTTTTTTTGGTGATTACGTGTCACAATGTATTTAACAAGAGACCCAAAACAGCTCTTCTTCCAGTGCGGCACAGAGACGCCTGAAGGTTGGACTCCCGTGAGTGCACAGCATTGGCCCAGAATACACCCATCACCGCGGAAAGCTGGGTTGAGTAGAGCTGCTCCAGAGAGCAAGGCTTCGTGGGGAGCTGGAAAAGGGAGAATGAGAACTAAATGCTGGGTGTGATCCTGGACAGGGTCCTGGTCCAGGAAAAGGACATGCGTGGCTCGACTGATCACACTTGAATAAGGTCTGAAGAGAAGCTAACAGTACCGTGTGTGTCCCCTTCCCAGTTGTGGAAATTATGATCTGATTATGTAACATGTTAATGCTTGGAGAAGCTGCATTGTGAAGGGCGTTTGGACATTCTTCATATTATTTCTGAAACATTTTTGAAAGTCTGAAATGATTTCCAAAAAAAGTTGTAAAACTTTAAAAAAATTTTAAAACAAGAGGGCAAGAATGAGAGTGTGCACCTCTTGGAACTGTCCCAGTGCACGGACAGCCTTGGGGACAGACGCAGCTGTGGAGGGAGCACGGCATTCGTAAAGGCCAGGGAACGAGTGAAGGGAGGTCCGTTTTGTAAGTGATGGATGGAGCCCTTCGCCAGGCTGGGGAGACGGCAATGCTGGGTTTGGCACCTGACCTCGCCACCTGATTGGCTGGTTGTCTAGCCTGAGCCCTGTCCTCTCTGAAAAGATGCCCCTTGCACCCTGCGAGGCTCTGAGATGATGGAGGTGAAGTGAGCTGAGAGATGCAAAGGACCATGCCTGTGAGAAGGGATTACCAGCAAAACCTGAGACAGGCCCCGCCCGACTGTGTGGTTCGGTGAAAGCAGCAGGAGGTTTGTTAACTTGTTATCAGTGGTTTTCGTTCTGAAGCCCTTAAATGGTGCTTGTCTTCTGTTCAGTGGCCCCTGCTCTGAGGCCCCAGCCTCCTGAAGGTCAGGCCCGTCGGGTCACATGGCTGCACACTTCCTGGGGGTGCTCTTGTCTGTGCTTGCTTCCTTCCTGATGTTCTCTGCAAAAGACAAGCCTCCTATTAGCTCACGTTGCCCAAGCTCTGCTTCCCAGGGCTGGTATTAGGGCTTAATTGGCTGCCAGAATTTGTGTTAAAAGCAGCAGCAGCAATATTATTTAACACCTGGAAAAAAGAAAAAGTTATACCCAATTCCTCCGCTATGCAGTGACTTTTTCTGTCTTGCCTGTGGCAGCTGTGAAGGAGCCAGCATGCCTGGGCTTTCTTTCTCCCCTCCACAACTTGCTGTCGATATTTTTCCTCATTGCCACATGACTAATGTAGCCTTCATCACCATTGGCGACTGCCTGACACCCATCCTGCAGCTGTCCCATGAACACTATGCCAACGAATATTGGGGTGGTTCAGGCTTTGTCCTCCTGAGCTGGCCCTGTTTTTCAGAAGGGACTAGTACTAGAACCTTTCATCCGTCTTGCCTGATGGTTCCATGGGATGCCTTGCATACAAACCAGGCTTTAGGGATTGACAATTATTTTCTTTCTTTCCTTTTTTTTTTCACTTACAAAATTCATTTATTTCCTTCTTTTTGTTTAATAGCTAGAATTCAAAAGTTGTGATGGCCTTGGAAACTTTGAGATCTGACTGGTTCAACTCATACTGAGCCAGTTCTGGCCCGTGTGTCTTCTTAATGTTTGTGAAAAAGAACTTTGCAGGCTGTTTCAGCTTTATTCCAAACTGAAAGAAAAATCAAAGTATAGAGGCCTGGAGAGGGAGAGATGGTAGTGTCCTTGGCTTTGGGGCTCTGAATGCCACAAGGGTCACCTGGGCCAGGACCCTCTTTGCCTGGATGGGGAAACCAGGGCCAGGAGGCACTGTGATTTGCCCCGGCTCTGCCTGAGTTCCAGAAAGAGGCAAGTCTGGGACCAGGAGTCCAGGAGGTTCAGAGCCGGCGCCCCGGCACTGTGATTTGCACAACCCTTGGAAGAACCTGCTGCATTCCAGTGGGGGCCATGCAGCCGGGACCCTGGGGCCCAGCTCTGCCCTGAGCAGGAGCTGGGCAGAGGGTGCTCTTACCAGCCAGGTCCCTCCTGCCAATGGCCACGAGGCCCTCAAAGAGCGCTTTGCTGGGGTTCTCACCCGCTGTGGCCACACCGTGCAGCCAGATGAGCAACATCCGATGGCCATGCTCCTGGTAGCTCTTGGTGCCTGAGGACCATGAAGGAGAAAGAGAAAGAAAGAGCCAACCTGGCCCACTTAGCATGAGCCAGGTCTCTGCACGTGTCTACACTGCCCTGTACTGCCTCCTGAACACCAGGCCCTATGAGCTCTAGCAGAGTTCAGCCCAGAGCTGGGGACGGGAGGGGCGGAGCAGTCTCAGATGGGGTGGGATGGAGGTTTTGTGTTGGGGCCCTTGAACCCCATACCCAGACTTTCTCCTGAGCATCTGCCATGCATGCTGTTGGTGTCACTTCTAAGAGAGAAATGATTGGCTCTCGTTTTGGGACCGTAATGCTCATGATCGCACGCTTCATCTTTGGCTGCTGAGGACAATCTGCCTCGCATGCTAGTGGCCCTGTTCTACAGACAAGAAGACTGCCCAGTCGGGGACAGAGTTGGCCGTGTTCTTTCCCCCGCTCCAGGGGTTTGCGCCCAGAAGTGCCCATTGGGAACACCTGGGAAGCTTTAAAAAATACTAACACCTGGGTCTTTCCTCCCCACCCTTGAAATTCTGAAAAGCTTGGGTCTAGGCGTAGCCTAGGCACTGAATGGGTGTTAATGCTTCCCAGGTGATGCCGACGCAGAACCGTGTTTGGAAAACAAGTGTTCACACTCTTCAGTGCTGCTGGTGGTGTTCACTTGTTATTAAACTCTGTAACTAGGTCTGTTCTCCCAGCTGGGGATCCCCAGCTGGGGACACCCACACTCGGGTACAGCAATGGCGGACACAGCCATGGGGTCCAGGTCCGTCCTTTCACTGTGTCCTCTGACCTTCTGGCCCTCTGGGGGCCCTCAGCATGCACTTCCTCACGCTGCTGCCCTTGGCGTGGCAGTCTCATTTGTCCTATTCATTCACTAGCCTTTGCCCCTGGTGTTCCTTTATCATCTGTGAAAGTTCTTATCTGTCATAGAGTTTACTTTCAGACACCTGGCTGTATTCCACTAATTGGTTTGCATGTTTTTGTATCAGTTTTCTCTCTATATTAATTACTGGGTTGGCCAAAAAGTCTTTTTCTTTTCAATGGCTCTAGCAGTGCTTAGCTGTCTTAACTTCATTTGAAACAATTTTGTTAGACTGTATTGTGATAGCTGTCATATTAGCATGCATTCAAAAAAGCTTATCAAAATCAGTGAATTTTGGTGCAATCATTTTAATATTGAAGATGGAAGGAAATCCACAACATTTTCAGCATGTTTTGCTGTAATATTTCAAGAAAAGTAAAATGCAACTGAAACGCAAAAAAAGATTTGTGCGGTATACAGAGAAGGTGCTGTGACTGATGAAATGTGTCAGAAATGGTTTGTGAAGTTTCTTGGTACTATTGACATTTTGATCAAATAATTCTTTGCTGTGGGGCTGTCTTATGCACTGGAAGATGTCCAGCAGCACCCCTGGGCTCTAGCCATTAGAAGCCAATAGCTGGAGGTAACCAACTTACTCAGAATACCCAAATCAATAAAGTTATTGGTGAAAATGAAAAATGTGTCTTTTATTTTACAGAAAAAAAAAAAAACGTAATGGACTTTTTGGCCAGCCCTATATTTCAGCTTTATAAACGCTTGAGTTTGGTTGGGTTAGACTCTCTTCACTTTTTTCCCCCAAAATATACACTAATACATTCCCTGTTTATTCTTTCATGTAAACTGCAGAATCTTTTAGTCAAGTTTCAAAAATCTCCTATATTCATTTGATTAAAACTGGATCAAAGATTTCATCTAATTTGGGAAAAATCATTCTCTCTGCATGACACTTTCTAGCCAGGAATACAAAATGTCCTTCTACTTACCCAAGTCTTCTTTCATGGTTTAACTCATTTTTATCATTTTACTCATATGTCTGTCATATCCCTTTCTATAAACACATGCTAATGAAAATGTAATCTCTTTTGAAAAATACCTCTATATATTTTGCCCACTTATTAATGGTACATAGGAATACTATGTTGTATATTTTATCATATATTTAGCCATTTCATTGACTTATTTTAGTCTAAGAGTTTTTCAGCTGATTCTTCTGGACTTCCTGTGTATATAATTATAGCACCTGAAATTAACAAATCTCTCTCTTCCTTTCCAGTATTTGCTCTCATTTCTAATTCTGTGTCATGCTGCAGTACCAAGGCCAAAATCTCCAAGTCAATGTTAGGTAATAGTAGCAATGGAAGCTCCTCTTTTTACGGGGAGTGCCTTCATTTCCTGTATGAACGACAGTAATGGGCTCCGGCTGATTCATGAAGAAGGTGAAGTTCACAGGTCAGTGGGGAGGGAAAGGCAGAAGGCACAGCCTGTGCAAAGGCCTGGAGGAGTGAAAAATCACGTGGTGGGCTGGAAATGGCATGTGGCTTCATGTGGTTGGACTGTGGGTTGCACAGGCTTTTCCCCCACAAGCACAGAAAACTAACACACCCCAAGCGCCCCTACCCCTCCGCCTGCTGGCTGCTCTGAGCTGCCGAGGCAAGGAGGTACCTGTCCACTGTTGCTCGATGGCATGGACGTGGGCCTCAGTGAACTCCCAGCAATACGCGAGCTTCTTCCACTCCTGTGGCCGCAGGTACCTGGAGGCCAGTCGCCACAGCACAGAGCGAAGCTGCTGAGTTTCCTGCCGATGATCCTGCTTAAAGGTCAGACTCTTCCCAGAGGGATCACCAGGGTCCCTGAGTGAGAGGTGGTCCTGTGGGGCAGATCCCAAAAGTAGCAATCTGGGAGGAAGTCTCTGCCAGGCTCTCCCTGATGATCCTGGACCAGGGCATCATTACCGGCCTGGGGCTTAGTGTCTGCTACTCTGGTTTCTGCCTCAATGCCTTGCCATGACCTCTGGACTCCAAGCTGCTCACACTGTTCCTCCATCCAGAATTCCTTTCCTCACCTCTCTGTCCCCCAACTCCATTGCCACAGTCAAAAGACACCCCCAAATGCCACCTCTTCCAGGAAGGCTTCCCAATTCTTCTCTTTTCTCTGTGCTTTTATATAGCACAAGTGTCAGTAGAGTGACTCAGCAGTTGTACCTAAAACCAAGCAAGCCAAGAACCAGGCACTGGACTTGCCAAATCCCAACAAGTACTCAAGGGTAGGATTATGGAATTTTTTTATGCAAAGCAGATGATAAAATGAGAGGTTACAAAAGAATTATGTAATGGCATAAACTGTGCCCACAAAAGCCCCAGGAAGCCCCTCTAAAAAAAGTGGATGCAGAGTTCTGGTTGTTCAAAAGCTCACGGTGAGAAAAATCACCCTGGTGCCTGCATGTTACATCCTGGTCAAGTGTCTGGCCAGTCACCTGTGAGGTGATGGCTCGTGAGCTTGCCTCTCACCTGGGGGGTAAAGACCGGTTCCCAAGAGCCATGTGCTCGGCTGCCTCTGTGCATTGGGCTCATCCAGGGACTTTAAGAAACACTGATGCTTGGTCCCCAGGCCAGAGATTCTTGAACTGGCCTGAGGGTAAGGAGAGGGAATTCGTGATTCTAACTGCACCTCTGCCCTAGTGTTGAGAACTTTCAAAGACCGAGGCGGTTTAGAATTAAGCACAGGAATGCATCATTTCATCAAACCTTTGGTATGAACATCTTGGTGTTACATTAAGGCGTCATCTGTTGTGAAGAGGTTGTGATGTGTGTGAGAATCTTGCATATCACTGAAAGAGTATATCCCACGATTCCTCTTGACATTGGTTGTCCACCCACTGATTTTAGAAGAGACTGTTTTATTTTAGAGGTGTAGAGAAGCTTACTAAATTTATAAACAATATTGGAATGTTTAAGATATTTGAAATTCACTTTATTTATAAGTTTAATTAACCGGATTTACTAGAATAATTTTAAAATTTAGGATGCATGTGAAGTACTTAAAAATAAAATCTATTAAATTTATTCATTCGGTTTAAAATGTTTATGGTATTTTAATTAACTAAATTTATACATGGGACCAAATGCTAATTGAAAGCCTTCTTTTAACATGACTGTTAAAATTTACTAGGTTGTATAAATAGAATACTAAGACTTATAAAGTTAATTTAAAAGTTTAAGGAAAATTAGTTTTTAAATTTGTAATAAATTAAAAATTTTTTAAATTAGTATTAATTTTTAAAACTGAAGTAAATGCAAAAAAATATTTCCTATGTATGAAAAAAACCCTCAAATACCCGCAAAACTCCTTACCCCACCCCATTGGCTGACCACTAGAACAGCAAACGCAAGGCCTCACACCGGCCACTCTTCCCTCCCAGTTCCACAGCAGGGTCACTAACCACTCCCAGCACACTTCCCTTCTGGGCTCAGAAAGTTCCCCGAATACAACGCCCCCAGCAGTAATTCCAATCGCCTGGAGGGGGCAGTGAGCTGGCACCAGCTGGCCACCTCCTTTCCCCCCATGCGCAAGCATGCCTGTATTCATCCATCAACCAGGGACAATAGCAGTGTCCACAAATCTCTCCACATGGGCGTGGACCTCAGTCAGGCTTGTTTTGGTGTGGTTTGGATGCCCCCCATCTCCAGACCCTCACCAACAACCTCCGTGGAACCTGAGGGGCCCCTGAGTCAGTCAAAGCCAGCTCCACCGGGAGCCAAGGTCGCTGCCTTTCCTACAAGGAGAGACCAAGGGTAGAGAGGGTCTCACTCAGTACCTTCTCCCACTTGTAGAGGCGGTCGGCTTTTATGATCATGTCCACCAGGACGACGTGGTTGCTGCGGGCGGCCACTGCCAGAGCAGTCTTCCCTTGCTGCAAGTGAGGAGCAAGAAGGGAAGCTGGAGTTTTCACCAGAGAGGTGTAAAGTTGCCTCTAGCAGCGACTACCAACCCAGCTGCCCAGGAAAAGCAGTTTCCAGACATCTACACCAGAGAGTAGAAAGGCTTTCTGCTCCTGACAAGGGAGGTGGAAAAGTCACAGGTAGAATAAGGCAATAACAGTAATTCCAGCCCTGGCTGGTGTGGCTCAGTGGATTGAGTGCTGGCCTGTGAACCAAAGGGTCACAGGTTCGATTCCCAGATTAGGGCACATGCCTGGGTTGTGGACCAAGTCCCCAGTAGGGGGTGAGCGAGAGACAGCCACACATTGATGTTCCCCTCACTCTTTCTCCCTCCCCCTCTGTCTAAAAATAAATAAAATCTTTAGGAAAAAATAATTCCAGCCACCATCTTCTGTGTCCACCTCCTGCGTTCTTTAGAATTTATGAAACTCAGCCTGCATAACTCTTCAACATTACCTGTGAAATAGGTGTTTCCAGCCCCATTTCTCAGATAAAACTGGAGCTCAGAGAAGAGGCTTGGGCTCACGGTGGTGCATCTGCCCACCTCCCCCAGGCTCCCGGCCCTTTGATCCAGACCTCCCGCACAGTGCTGACCTAACCAACCCCTGGGACCTGTGCGAAGATGGGAAGTTCCTCTGCCAGTTGGGCCAGCTGACCTGGGGCCTGGCTTAAAGCAGGGAGCCCCTCCCAGCTCTAGCCTCAGAGCCTAGTCCTGCCCCTCACCCTCCTCACACCATCCCAAGGGCTGGCCATGCTGGGCCACATGGGCAAACACCCTTCCCCTCAAGCCTCGTACTAAACCTTCGCTCTTCTCAGACCTCCAGCCACTGAGGAGGTCGTCACCCCAGAGGCACAATGTTCTGAGCAGCTTCCCCTCCCCACCAAGTGACGCAGGTGCTCTGAGTCTGATGGAGCCATGAAACAGAAGACATTCATATTCAAACCCTACACCAGGAAAGGTGGGGGCCTAGTGCGGAGGGCACTCAGAAGGGGCAGGGGAAAGTGGTAGAGGAGTAGGAAGGCTTCCTGGAGGAGGCTGCATATGAGGTGGTATACAATATAGGGGAGGCCTTGAACACTCTGAGATCAGGCAGCATTTGCAGCAGGGTCTCTGGCAAGGAGGGAGCCATGAAAGCTTAAAAGGGTGGCTGGTTGTGAGCAGAAGTACCTTATCTCTCAGATTCAAGTTGACCCCTGCAACCAGGAGCATCTCCGCTATGTCCTGCCAGGCGTGCTCCGCGGCGAGATGGAGGGGCGCCTGCTGCCTCTGGGAAAGAAGCCAAGGGGACAGGGAAACAGGAGAGCATGCAGAAGCGGCCTGCGGCTTCACGCCAGGACAGGCACGGAGTGCGTGCACTGCCGGCGGGGCCCTGACAAAGCTTCTCCTAGAAGTCACGAGGGAGGGTACACTGGGTGTAATCATAAACGTGGTGTCAGAGAAAAGTTGGTAAAAACAAAAAAGAACAAAGAAGTACTACTCACTAGCCCACCTAAGTCAACCTCTGTAACAACATTTCTTCTAGTCTTTTTTTTTAATGCAGAATGTTCTTAGTTTGTTGGTTTTGGTTTTACATATTTGTACATATATACCTTTTGTACCTATTTTCCTACCTAACAACACTTTACACACATTATAAATGTTGATTAACAACATTTTTAATAGCCCCATGACAGTCTATGTCAGTACATAACTTACCTAACCATTTCTCTATTATTAAGTAGTTGGGGCCATTTTCAGACTGAAGACTGATAACCAGTGCTGCAATGAATATCTTGGGGCATGAGCTCTTACTATGTTTCTCGCAGCTCAATTCCCAGACGTGAGAAGACTGGCCATTTTAACGTTATACACTATCTGCTGCCAAGTCACTTCCCGCTGAGGGAGGCTGTGCGTGCAGGCACTGAGGACCACGTGGCTAGGAGGTGGGTTGTGGGGTCGGGGATTTCTCTAGTTATTGCACAAGACTGCCCCAGGCACCCCTGCCCTGGAATTCCCCCTAAGGGGGGAAATCAGTGAAAGGAAAAGGTTGAATAGAGGAAGGTGTTAACTGCAGTGTTATATATTTCATGGCAAAAACTAGGAAATAATCAGAGTACTCAAAATAGGAGAATGGTGAATAAAAATGATGATACCCTCAACGAATATTCAAACAGCTTTTTACAACCTACAAAAGCAGTTCCTCAGTGCTGGGTCATGCTGGTAGACCGCAGCCAGGCGCTGCCAGCCTGGGCAGGTGCTCAGAGGCTCCACGGGAACCCGGCGGTCTCTGCAGCCACTTACATTGTCCGTGGCGTCCAGGTCACTGCCGGCATCGACGAGGAGCTGAACCAGTGCAGGGAAGTTGTGCCTCACGGCAAGGTGCATCGGCGAGGCTCCCTGCTGCAGTGCGGGGGAGACAGGGATCGATGGCTGGGTCCCTCCCAGGACTGCCGTGCCACAGGTGGGTGCTGGGACAGTAACGGTGCTTCTAGATTTGGTGGGTGCCCTGAGGCATTTACAGCCCCAAAGCCTGAATCCCTGGGGTCCAAACACTGAACCTCAAGGTGGCTGGGGACCGAAGACCCAAGTTTGAGACTTTTCTATGCCGGGAACTCACTGTGTGACTTTGGGCAAGTCATTTCCCTTCTCTGCCACTCTCCACCTAGCAAGTGCTAAGGTCCCTTCTAGCAACAACACCTTAAGTTCTCTAATATCTCATTGAACCCACACATGAACCTAGAAAGCATCGAGGGATGGCATTCTTATTAGTACTTTCACCTTACACATGGACACACTGAGGTTCAGAAAATGTACGCAACTTGCCAAAGGGCACAGCTAATAGAGACCTTGTGCTATTGAACTTCCTACCCACAGCACCTAGGTAGACGTCTGATACCTACTCATATATGAAAGAAATGAAGGAGAGAGCCAGCTGTTATCTCACTCCAAGGCTGGAAGACTCCTTCCGCTGTGGTCCCCTGTGACCGCTGACGGCATGACAAAGGGGGGATTCTGCCACAGCATCCCCTTCTCTAGGTGATACTGTGACACACTTACTGTGCAACAGTACAAAGCCAGTAAAATTGATAGCATAGATCTACACCTCTATGGAAAATCACCATCACACAGTGAGTACAGAAATGTTACAAAACAGAACATACACACACCACAACAAGAATGCCTGGGTTGCAGGCCAGTGGGGGCCACGTGAGAGGCAATCATACATTGTTTTTCTCTCTCTGTCTTTCTCCCTCCCTTCCCCTCTCTAAAAATAAATAAATAAAATCTTAAGAAAAAAGAGATTATGGTGTCCGACCAGTTTAAAAATATAAATAAATAAATAAATAAAATCATACAGAAGATAAAAACACCTACATAATTGTAATAAATGTAGCCCTCTGGTGGGTGGTGTGGATAAGAAGGGAGGCTCTGAATACGTCAGGGGAGGGAGCATATGAGAAATCTCTACCTTCTGCTCAGTTTTGCTGTGAACCTGAACCTGCTCCAAAAGTAAAGTCTATTTTAAAAAATCCCGATGATGCAGCTGGGCCAGGGGACACAGGAGCCAACAGGAAGGGTCAGAGCTGAAACAATTTGAGCAACAAAATTGAGTAACACTGGATTATAATGCAAAGTATGAAATAATATTAGTCCATACTGATATAAATAAATGATCAATTGAATAAATAAGTAAATGGAGGTGAATAAACAAGTCTCCCACTCAGAAGAATCCCAAACAATTTATATAGCTATTTTGCCCTCAAGGAGGTGGAGCATAAAACTCCCCCTTCCTTACATGTGGACTTCGCATGGTGACTTCCTTTCAAAAAGTGCAGTATGGGAAGGAGAAAAAGAGAAACCTCATAACAGAGACACCCAACAAACACTCCCTCGGCCAGACGGCCAAACGATCAGGGCGGCATCGGCAGTGACAGCACGTGCCCTCACCTGGTGTGATGCACATGAGTCCTGGCCTCTGTGCTCTTCCTCTTAAAAACCGTCACCCCATCAAATCATGAGGAAGGAAAACATCAGACAGGTCCCGGTTGGGAAGCAGTCTATAAAACACCTAAGTACTACTCAAAACGGTCACAGTCATCAAAAACAATGCAAGTCAGAGAGACGAGCACAGCCAAGAGGAGCCCGAGAAGACAGGACAATTAAACGGAACGTGCTACTCTGCCTGGGATCCTGTAACAGAAAACGGCAGTAAGTAGGAACTAAGGAATCTGAAAAAGTATGGATTCACATTAATAACAATGGGTGGGCATTGGTTCATTGATTGTAACAAACACGCCATACTAACGTCAGGTGGCATGAATAGGGGAGCTGGATGTGGGATATGAGAACTCTCTGCACTACCTCTGCAACTTTTAGATAAAACTAAATATATTCTGATATAAAAAGTGTATTAAGAACTGCAGAACTGTACCCTGACTGCTGTGGCTCAGTGGGTTGGGTGTTGTCTCACAAGTTGAAAGGTCGCCAGTTCGATTCCCAGTCAGGGCACAAGCCTGGATTTCGGGTTTGGTCCCCAGTTGAGGGAGGGGCATACGAGAGGCAGCCAATTGATGTTTCTCTTGCACATCAGTGTTTTTCCTCCTCTCTTTATCCCTCCCTTCCCCTCTCTCTAAAAATAAATAAATAAATTAATTAATATAATATTTTTTTAACTGAAAACCAGTGAGAATAGTATGCTAAGAAAAGGCGGGAGACCCACACAAATATGGCCAATTGATTCTGACAGAGGCTCAAAAGCAGCTCAGTGCTGGGAGGCTGGACAGCCATTGCAGCAAGCGGTGCTGGAGCAGCTGGCCTTCTGCGGGCAAAATGAGTGAACAAATAAACAAATAAACAAGTAAGAGCTTCCTTTGACTGAAGCCTCACACCTTATACAAAATTAACTCAAAATGGACTACTGACTTAAATGTAAAACTCTAAAACTTGTAGACAAAAACATAGGAGGAAAACTTCAGGATCTAGGACTAAGCAGGGTTCTTAAGAGTTGACACCAAAAATATGACCCACAGAAGGAAAACATTGATAAATTGGACCTCATCAAATTACAGACTTTTTACTCTGCTAAAGATCTTGTTAAGAGGATGAAAAGACAAGCTACAGATCAAGAGAAAATATTTGCAAATCACATAGCTTACAAAGGCTAGTTCTAGAACATACAATGAATTCCTTAAAACTCTACAGTAATGAAAAATCAGAAAATGGGCAAAGACATGACTGGACATCTCACTGAAGAGGATACTCACATGTCAAACAAGCACACGACATCGTTAGCCGTTAGGGAAGTGCAGGAGAAACCACAATGAGATGTCACCACACACCTATCAGAATCGTTAAAATGAAAAAGGAAAAAAACAGCAAGAATACGTTGACAAGGACGTGGAGAAACTGGGTCCCTCAGACATCGCTGGTGGGAATGGGAAATGGTGCAGCCTCTCTGCACAAACAGTTATGGGGTTGTCTGTAAAACTAAACACGTGTTACCATAGGACCCAGCAATTACATTCTTGGTTTTTATCCCAGAGGAGTGAAAACTCATGTTCACACAAAAACCCGTATGTGAATGTTCATAGCGGGTTTATCCATAATAGTCCATAACAGAAAACAACATGGATGGCCTTCAGCAGGCTCCTACAAATCATTACAAAATAAAAAATAATCCAAGAGAAAAATGGTCAAAGGATACGAACAGACATTGGATGGAAAAGGGAAGGCAGATGACTCTTAAGGGGAATGAAAATTAATCCTACAGAGAGACAAAATCCTTCACTCGTCAGACTGGCACAGATTCAGAGGTTTTGCCCAATGTGTTGTTGACAAAGCCGTCGTGGGGAAACAGGCACCACCGTATATTACTGGCATGAGTGTAAACTGATACAGTCAGCTGTGATACAGTCTGTCTGATACAGTCTGTGTGATACAGTGAGCAACACGCACAGGAAGTGCGAGTGTACGTGCCACATGACCCAATACATCTACCTCCAGGCATTTATTCTGCAGGTGTGCGCCCACAGACGCGGGAGGTTATGTGCACAGGTTTTTATTGTGGTATCGTTTGTAACAGGGAAAGACTAGAATCCACCTTTACAGAGGAACAATTTAATAAATTATGGCCCGTTCATGCAATGGAATACTATGCAGCTATTAGAAAGGATGAGGATATGTTTTAAAATATATACTTATATGGAAAGATCCTAAAGATGTAGCTATGATAAAACAGCAAGATATACATTCTCCAATAAAAGGTACCAGGGCTTCCTGGAAAAATGGCTGATTCTAGGACTGGGACAGGAAATAACACAGGCTCAGTCTGGAGCACCTTGCAGTGACAGAAAGTCACGAAGCACACCATGAAAACACAGTGATGGGCACCCCTGCTGGAACGGCTCAAAGCCAGGACAGTGATGACCCCGACCGCTGACCGGGATGAGGAGCAGCAGGCACTCTCATCCATTCTGTTGGGGGTGTGAAATCGCACAGCCGCTGTGAAAGGCAGTTTGGTAGCTTCTTAGAAAACTGAACATACACTTAAGCAGTCATGTTCCTTGGTATTTATCCAAAGGAGTTCAAAATTTTTGCCACATAAAAACCCACACATGGATGTTTATAGCAGCCTTATTCATAATTACCAAAACTTGGAACTAAGATGTCCTTCAGCAAGTGAATGAATGAATCAAGTGTGGTACATCCAGACAATGAAATATTACTCAGTACTAAAAAGAAATGAGGTGCCAAGCCATGAAAAGACGTGGAGGAACCATAACTGCATATTACTAAGCAAAGAAGCCAATTCGAAAAGGCTACATGTTGCACGAATTCACCCAAGTGACATTCCGGAAAAGGTGAAACAATGGAGACAGCGGAAAGATCAGTGGCTGCCAGAGGTCGGGCAGTGGAAGTGGGGGATGAACAGAGCACGGAAGAATTTTAGGGCAGTGAAAACATTCTGTGTGGTAGGATAGTGGTGCGTGCATGTCATCGTATGTGTATCCAAACCCACAGAATGTACAACACTAACAGTGAACCCCAGTGTAAACTGTGGACTTTTTTTTAATTGGGAGAAAACGTAAAACTTAACACACAACATCGGCGCACGGGTCAGGAAAGGTGGTCCTCGCTCTGCCACGGCTCTGCCTGCTGGCACGAGACTTGTAGGGCATGATTCGGTGCATATAGCAGAAGCTGGAAAGATGTTCATAATATTTGACCTCACCTCAAATTCCCACTTCTGTTTGGAGAAGTCATGTATAATGCAAAAGAAATAAAAAGTTATGCCATAAAGGTGTTCATGAAATCATTGTTTATAGTGGCTCAGTCAGAACTAACTTAAATATCCAACAGCGGAGGATGTTATGTGTGATGTGGACACTGGGCCACATCAGGCATGGTCAGCACCTAAAAAATGTCCACCAGGAAAATGATGCAGCCACACTGGGTGCCTGGGCTGGGCGGACTCTGCTGGACTGGACTGGTGCCTTGATGGAGAAAAATAAAAAGGCATCCTCCTTCCAGAATTCTGCCTTAGCCTGGATTTACTCTAGCTGGAGGTGCTACTGTGCATATGAGGAGAAACAGAGAGGGAATAAAGAAAAGTTACTGCTTTACTAGGGTGTCAGGATTAAGGATGCCTTTTTTCTCTACATGCAAATAAATTGTGGTTTTACAATAATTTTAAATAGAGTATTTATTTCAGATATATGAAGTGACCTCTTTCTAATTTAAGTAACCGATAGTTCCTCATTTAAGTACTGGGAATAATAAGGGTACCTATAGATAGGAAACAGAGGTGCAGGAAGGTCAAAGCTGCTAGCCCAAGGTCATTCAGTTTGTGAGTGGCAGAGCCAGGCCTCAAAGCCAGGTTGTCTGACACCGAAGCCCACACCTTAACCACAAGGTTATATTGTTGCCTATGCTATACTGCATGTTCTGCAACACAACAGGAAAAAGGGAACAACCGAGAGGCTAAATCTGTAACGAGATCATTACTAAGATCCAAGGGATAAATGAGAGCAGATATTTTGCTGGGAAGGAAAGGCAAGCTGCCTTCAATTCCGTTCCAGGGGAATCTTATTGGACTCCCCTATGGGCTGCCAGCTGCCCAAACCCCAACCCCAATTGATGAGGTCATGGAGGACTTTGCAGTAGGGACACCCTTCAGTCCAGGCCCCCACACTTACACGATCGGACACGTTGGTGCAGGCCCCTGAGTGGATGAGCGCCCGGGCCACGTCCTCAGAGCCACTGAGGGCTGCGTAGTGGAGGCAGCTCTGCTCTTTCTAGAGGAAAGCGGGAATCAGTGCACCTTCCTCAGGAGCCCCTCACAGAGGGGCTTCCTGGAATTCATTTTGCCATTTCCTCTCACACCCCCCACCCACCCACCCCGGGACCCCCTTTAAACTCTGAAGCTAAGTGAATCAGTGACTTGCCCAGGCCTGGTGGCTGGTGACAGGGGCTCACCATGATGAGCTCGGCCTTTCTCTGCCTCCTGTCCCAGATTCCAGAGCACAGGCCAAAGCCCGCACAGTTCCTTAGCTGGTAAAGACATGTGGAGCATAGACTCTGAGGAGCGGGTGTTCAAAGACGGGGACAAACGATATTTGCCAGCACAGGGCAAAGCCCACGCAGCACACACCGCCTAGCTGGCGCTGGTCAGGCTGTCCCGGCCTGTCCCTGGCAGGGCCAGGGCGAGGCCTGCTTCCCGGACGGGCCTTCTACGTGCTCGCCTCTACTCGAAGCCCACTCCTGACCCAGTGAGGATCTCACACGAGACACATCTGCTCCGTGCCAGGCAGGCCCCACTGAGTGACCGACTGTCCCAGCTTGCCACCATGGGGGCGAACCAGGACGAGTTGTCACCCTCATGAAGTCCTGTCCGAGTGCACAGGGTGGGTGGGGACTAGTCCACCTCCCCACGGGAAGTACAGTCACCCTAGGTGAGCCCCTCCTCAGAGGCCCTGCTGTAGGACCCTTCAAGGGGTGGGAATTTCCATGCGGAATGTGGCCCCTGCCAGAAACCTCAAGCCAAGGCTCGAGCACAAGGTCCAGTGAAGTGGGCAGCCCCCACCCCACCAGCAACCACCATGGGCTGGATGCAGCCTCCCCCTCCCTGTCTCTAAGTTCCTGTGCTTCCTTCGATGCAGAACCCGCCCAGTACGGAGACTGAGCTGGGCACAGAGGAAGGGCCTCGTTGCCCAGAGAGCAGCCCCCCAGCCCCCGGACACAGCGGGCGACCCAAGGCAGCGGCTTTCCCCTCTGGGCCTCGGGGTCCCCAAACCCCACTCCCCCAGCTAGTGGCTCCCGCACCCTCTGAGGGAGTTCTGTAAATTAAGTGTTTTATGGCTTGTAAAGCATTATTCACACTTAAGGTGGTTTAACACTGATATTATTCAATTTACATTTTGCATTTTGTTATTCATTTTCTATATGTCTCCTATCTTTTTTCTTCTGTTTCTCCTTGACTGTTTTCTTTTGTGTCAGATAAATATTTGTAGCATATCCTTTTTAGTCCTCTGTTGTTTAACTTTTTTGCTATTATTTATTTTTGCCTTATTATTAAAATTTAGAACAAATAAAGAATTCCAGACCCTGAAGCAATTTAACCAGCCAAAAAGTCTATTTGTCACTGATCTAAAACAAAAAACAAAAAAACAAAAAAAAAACAGGTTCCAGCATAAAGGCCACAGCCCTCCTTTCCAGGACACAGGGGAGCGTTGCTGCGAGTGGCCGACTTCCGGAGCGCAATGATGAGGGACAGAAGGGGCCTGCCCCAGAGTCACACCCCGGCCCCAGCTCTGAGGCCTGGGAGGGGCCCTGTGTAGGTGGGCCTCCTGTTGAGGATGCCCGGTGGGCGGACCAAAGCCTCCCTGAGCTCTGGAGTCGGGACAACAGGCTTCTCAAACTCAGCTTTGCTTCTGACCAGCTCGTGACCTGGGAGAGTCACTGACGGACCCTCTGTAAGCTTCCTCTTCCTCACCTGCAAAATAGGGGGCGCTCTTCTGAGCCACTCCGTGAACTATCGCATGCCCAACCACAGGGAGCCACAAACAGGTGTTGAGCTCCCATCATGCCCCCAACACTGTGCTAAGCGTTTAATCCTCACAGCAATGTAAACAAGTAAGTGTACACCATCCCCATTTGATAGTTGGGAAAAGAGGCTCAGAGAGCCTAAGTCACTTGCCCAGATCACAACAGCTCAGCAGTGGTGAGGCCAAGACCAGAACCTGGGCCTACTGCCGCATAGCCTTTGTGCACACAATGTTCAGAAATCACTGTGGCTGTCACTGTTGACATGATCACAGCTCAGCAGCCCAGGGCAGACGTAGGTCGTGGGGAGGCCCGGCTACCTGAGTGAGGGTGTTCACACTGCTGCCGGCCCCCAGGAGCAGCTGCACACAGTCGGGGTGGACTCCTTCAACAGCCGCGTGCAGGGCGGTCAGACCTTCCTGGAAGACACAGGAGCGGTGTGAGGGCAGCAGGCATCTGAGGCCAGACCCTGAGACCAGAGGACACCCTCATGTCAGGCTCCAGGGCCCTTTGAGCTCTGCACTGCCTAGCTCCTGAGCACACCGACCTGGTTATCTGCATTCCCTGAGCCCCACACCTTTGAGGGGCACGTGGTGCATTCGCCCCTCCTCCGCCCCCTGCTCCCATTCTCCTTGCCCTCTAAGCCGCCTCACCTCGAGCTGCTCTGTCCATTCCCTCCTACTCCAGGAAGCCGTCCCTGACCATCTGGCCACAAAGACGTCTCCCTTCTGTGAGCGCACACACTGAGTGTGGCTGCTTGGTCGTCCCCCATGCTGCCCAGTGCCCCGCTAAGCCTGGAGTTTCACACCACTGCTTAGCTTTTCCTGCTGGGCTGTTAGCTCAAGAACATACAGGGTCCAGCAGAAGGAAGGCTTGAGTGTGGTTGGTAGGGTATGTGAATGTCCCGCATGAGATGGACAGCCATTTAAACATTTCCCCTTAACTGCCATATGGTGTGCTTGAGTGTGATACTGTTATGTTACAGAATTACATGCTTATAAACGATTTTGTAATTTAAAAAGGGCATTATTTGTGCTGCACCCTGTGTCTGTCCTCAGCTCCTGGCTTCGGGACCTCTACCGGGGAAAACCAAGCTGAACCACAGGCTGTAGGTTCCTTGAAGGCGGGGAGTGAATATCACCCATCTCCGAGTCATCCAGGTGGCAGCTCACCACATTCCTCTCCTCCAAGTCCAGCCCGATGTCCACGAGTCGCTGCAGCACAGACAGGTGGCCCCTGCCAGCGGCCAGGTGAAGGGCCGTGTTCCCCTCCTGCAAGAAGGGCCGGTAGCATCACAGAGCTAGGCTCTGGGGCTGCTGGACCACCCCTTATGTTATAGGCATGGAAACTGAGGTCCAGAGAGGGGAAGTGACACCTCTAGGTCTCCGAGCAAGGCCCTGACAAGGGCTGGGCCAAAAACTATGCCCAGGGGGCACTTTCAAGGGCCAAGTCCTGGTCTCTCTTCCCTTGCTCTTCAAGGCAGACACATTACTTTTTTAAAAAATCCCTACTAGCCCTGGCTGGCGTAGCTCAGTGGATTGAGCACGGGCTGTGAACCAAAGCATCACAGGTTCGATTCCCAGTCAGGGCACATGCCTGGGTTGCAGGCCATGACCCCCAGCAACCGCACATTGATGTTTCTCTCTCTCTCTCTATCTCCCTCCCTTCCCTCTCTAAAAATAAATAAATAAAATCTTTTTTAAAAATCCCTACTTTCCCTGCTTCTGTCCAAAGACAATCCCTCACCAGCGACCCAAATCACCAACCTCTCCCTCTGCTGAAAGCCACAACGTCAGACTCTCCCAGGCAGCCACATGCCCAGTCACTCACCTCCTGGTCTTTGCTCAAGATATCCTTAGCTTCCCATAGAATAATGGGCCCACCCTGACCACAGTTTAAAACGGGAATTCGCACCTCTCCTCCTGATCCCCCGTCCTGCTCAACGTTTCCTTTCCTCCACAGCCTTCTAACGCCTTTTTCACTCACGTGTATGCTGTGCTCCTTGTTTATCGTCTGACTCTGTGGTTAGAACAGAAGCACCACACAGTGGGGATTTCTGTTTTGTTCTCTGAGGTTTCCCCAATGCCTAGAATAGGACCTGGGGCACATGGCAGACACTCAACAGGTATTTTGTTCAATGAGTAGCAATGTGATGAGAGCTTGGTGTGTGTCTCCTGGAACTTGAGAGCCAAAGGACTGGTAGCTGCCTCACACTTGAGAAGTCCACAGGTGACAGTGACAGAGCCCAGAGAGGTGGCTCCGTGGGGTGGGGGGAAGGCACAATGTTCCCTGTATTAGAGGTGGCCCCTGCAAGGGCAACCTGTTTGGGGTTAAAGGGATCTTACTGGGGAAGGGGCCCCAGCAAAGGAGGACAGCTGGCAGTGGCCAGAGGTAAGGTATGTCCCTAAAGAGGAACCACAGATGGAGGCCAGGGCAAGGACCCCTGAGGAACCCACAGGAGCATCCAGAAGGGAAGATGCAGCTTGGCCATTCCTCACGCCCCAGAGGCCCCTGGGACGCATCTACCTGAACCAGTCACAGGGACCTCCTAGCTCAAGCCCCTCCCCCCTCTGGCCTGTCTCCCTGCCTTCAGGAGGAGGGGCCATTCACAGCTGGGCATGGATGTTTAAAGGGCCCGTTGAGGATGTGAATATACACCACCGCCCAAGCAGTACTTAAAAGAGTTAAAAACACATCCCCCTCCCCCATGATAGACTCACACATACGCAAAACAGTTATAACTATCTTATTGGGATCACAGATGAAACCATTAAGTTTCCTTTATGATGACAGTCATATTAATAAATGAAAATCAAGTTTCAAAAATCCTCCCAGCTCTGTTCTGCTTCCCTCCCCACCTGTCTGCAGATGAACAGGCAGTGGGCTAGTCAGTACTCTGCAGCAAACGGGGAGCAGGCTGTGGGACTGTGACCTCAGGGTGAAGTCTCTGTGTCCAAAGAAACGCAAACGGACTGAGCAGGGCCTGATGTGTGCTCCCAGCTAGCAGGGCCACAGACACAGGGCAGGGCTTGCTCCTTCCTTTGGGTCATAAACACCCATGTCCTGCCCTTTGAAGCTGCAGGTGGCAGGGACCCCCAACAGGGCACTAGAATTCTGCCTGGCCTGGTCAGGGTGGGGGGTGTGCAGAGGCAGGAGAGCAAGGTGGAAGGAGGGCTTGGCCTTGGGCCCAGTGTCCTCTGCTGTGGAGGGGCCCGGCCTCTCAGCATCCCCTCCATGTTCCCAGTGGAATGAATCACTTCCTCTGGACCCCCAAAGCCTCCCTTCCATGACAGTGCCTGTGTCATACCGAGTGTTGTCATCGTCCTGTCTCAGTGGCGTTCTGACAGGTGGGGTCCTAGCAGGAGTCAGAGCTTTGAAAAACTTCCTGTGCCACCCTCCCCAGATGACGTTCCGAATGAAAATATTCCTCATCTGAATGCGTAACACTTTACAGGAGCATGCAATTTTAAATGTGTCTTTCTGGAATTTCTAATTGTAAGGTTCTGAGCAAGTTCACCCAAGCTGAACTTTTCTTGTTTTCTTGATCTTGCTCTCCTTGGACCCCGAGTACAATCATTTTTTGCCTGCCCTTCCCCCTCTCTGTAATCCCGCCACCAGGCCTGTGCCTACATTGAGCACACCCATTTCCAGCCACGCTTCCAAAATGAAGGAAATCAGCCTGATTCTCAGGACCCAACTCAGCCTTTTCACCCCAGAGCGGTGAATGAGGACAGACAGATTCAGGGCAGGCCTGTGGGCTCAGTGCCCCAGGAGACAGCCTGGTGGGAGGGCGAAGCACAAGGCTAGGCATCAGGATGCTGGTTCTCAGCACAGCCTGACCTTGGTCTTGCTGCGTGACCCTAGCTAGAGCATCCTCCTCCCCGGCCCTCCATTTCCACATTTGTAAAGTGAGAGGTTGAACTGGCCCTGCTAGAGATGCCTTCCAGATCAAAGACCCTGCGGTATGTGTATCTGTGAGCTCACTGTCCACACACAGGAATCAGAGGATTAAAAATGGAGTCCGTCCCCTTTGTTAGAAGCATTGTTTAGAATCTGCAGCAACACATTTGCCTAATGGCTCACAATGGAGTCAATAGGATAGGGAGTTGATAGGAGTCATTGGTGGGGGGGGGGGCGGGCAGTCCCTCCCAGCCTCCAACCCTGACCCCTTCTCAGATTAATTAAATCCACCCGAACAAAGTGCTCCCTCCTCAGTGCTCTCGTCCTGCTTTGTCCATAATCATACTTACTGAACAACAAAGAAAGCAAATAAAAACAGGTGTGTGGCCACCACCCCCAACTCTTCCCACACCCCCAAAACAGATGCTCCCAACGGAATCTAGTCCTCTCAAACCCACTCTGGGCAGCGCTGCCAGCCAGTCTGATTTCCGTCCTGGCTCCCCACACAGGACCATTGCTCTTTACAAGGACAGTGCCATTGAGTTCTTTGAGTATGAAACGGCATCTCAGGCATCTTTGTGTTCCTCACCTGGAGCTCAGGGTTAGCCCATAGCACGTGCTCAAAGAGCGCCTGCGGATGGACATCGGACACGCTCTGGTCTTTGGGCTGCCTGCCCCTCCAGCAAGTTGGAGTCAGAAGTAGTCACAGGTGAGCTGCCAGCACCCACCCTGGGCAGGAGCCCGGAGCCTGGCCCTCCCCTGGGTCCCCTGGGCCCAAGGTCACAGTACCTTGTCTTTGACACTGTGATCACAGCCAGAGCCCACAAGGAAGTCCAGAGCATCCAACTGCCCGTGCTCGGCAGCCCGGTGAAACGCTGTCCTTCCCAGCTGTCCGGGAAGAGAAGACGGCGAAGCTTTGTGCCCTGCCCACCTGGCCTCTATTCCCTCGACCACTCTGGGCTTGAAGTGGCCTCTCCTGCCCCAGACACTGGCCCCTCCCCTCACCCCACACCCCCTGCCTGGAAAGCCCAGACCTGACTTCCAAACAAGGCCCTACTAGGGGGTCCCTCCCCACTGAAATCTCCCTGTGGCTGCCTGCCGCCTAACAAATAAGGAACAGACTCATGGGGTGGGGGGTCGAGATCTCCGTGAGGGACCCCAACAACCCCTTTCCACCTCTAAAGCTCTAGCAATGCTCTCTCTCTGCTGTTTGGAATGTTCTCCTGCTTTCTCTAACCTTACCGATCTAATTCAGTTCATTCACTGTGTGCCACCTCCTCTCGCAAGCAGAAAGCAGTGGCTCCCTTCTCTAACCTGTCCAGTCATTATCGAAGCCTCACATTAGGAACTGACCATGTTTCTGCCTCTGCCTTGCTCATCTGAGCCCTAATGCCCCTTCCAAACCAGCAGCTCCTTGAGGCGAGGTCCAGCCTGCACTAGCCATAGCTCAAAGGACACACCCAAGGAACAAGCACAAGTGGCCCCAGGAGCCCCAGGCCAATCAAAAGGACAGCCTTGCTGCCACGCTCACCTTGTCAGCACGGTCCAGGGCCACGTCCTCCAGGTCTTCCATTATGAATGCCAGCACCTGCACGTGGCCTTTCTGGGCTGCGCAGTGCAGTAAGGTTAGACCGTCCTGGAAACAAGCCCAGGGTGGTCCCTGCAGTCTGCAGGGGAGGCCCTTCTCACACACTGCGAGGAAGGCGGTCTCTTGCCCCAGAAGCAAATTAAGTGAGGGAGGTTTGCAAATCCTACACTTACAGCCCAGAGCCTCTATGACAGCCCTGGCCTCGCACTACAGCTCGAGACTGTTTCAAGCACTGCTTTCCAAACAGACTGCAACAGTCAACAGGTCATAAAAACCGATGAACTATGTTGTACGTCCTGACAGTGGTTTGGAGCCTACAGGACTAGCATTTGTCAAATCTCAGAGAATATAAATTTAAGATTCGTGTATTTCATTGCAGGTAAAGAAATTCAACCCTAGTTACTGACATGTATGCTGAAGTACACTGGTGTCTGTAATTTATTCTTAAATGCATCAAAAATTTATAAAGAACTCTAAAAACTCATCAATGAGAAATTAAGCAACACCCTGGTTGGCATAGCTCAGTGGATTGAGCGTGGGCTGCGAACCAAAGTGTCGCAGGTTCGATTCCCAGTCAGGGTACATGCCTGGGTTGCAGGCCATGACCCCTAGCAACCGCACACTGATGTTTCTCTCTCTCTCTCTCTCTCTCTCTCTCTCTCTATCTCCCTCCCTTCCCTCTCTAAAAATAAATAAATAAAATCTTTAAAAATAAATAAATAAAATAAAATACATGATTCCGATTGACCTACAAAATTGTAATTTAAAAACAAGAAAGAAATTAAGCAACACAATTAAAAAATAATTTGGACATCAAAGAAGATAATACGGAAGAAAAATAAGCACATGGAAAGATATCTGACATCATTAGTCATTAGTGAAGTGCAAATTAAAACCTCAAAGAGTTTCTAACAACAGATAGTGGAAAGGGAAAATGCTAACATTACAGTGGAGAAACCTGGCTGACACTATAACTAAGTTGCCAAGAGTGATGTTGTGATTCATAATAAAAAATATATATTTAGTCTTTGTCCATGTTCCTGGAACAGGGCTTCTATAACCTGTGGAAAAGATGTCTTTTGTTATGTTAATGAGATGGGGAAAACCCCCCCCCCAGTTACCTAAGGATGGGGGCTGGTTGCCTGGGGAACCAACCTTGATTAGAAGGCTGAAACTTTCAGTCCCACCCCCTGACATGTAGGAAGGGAGAAGACAGAAGGTTGAATCGAGCTCCAGTGGCCAAGGATTGCATCAATTATGTCTATGTAAGGAAGCCTCCACCTCCCCCCACTGTAATAAAAGGAGGGAGTTCAGAGAGTGTCGGGGTGGTGAACCAGAATGCATCCATGCGCTGGGCCCCAAACTCTACACGGGCAAGCAGCTCCTTTGCTGGGGGCCTGATCCTATGAATCTCTTCATCTGGCTGGTGATGATTTATATCCTTTAATATCCTTTGTGATAAACTAGTAATCAAGTAGTAAATGAGCGTCCTGAGTTCTGGGAGCCGCTCTAACAAATACTCTGGACCTGGGTAGGGGTTTGTGGGAAGCCCAGATAACAACCCGGACTTAGGATCGGCATCTGAAGTGGAGCCCTTAAACCTCCAGGTAGATGGTGTCAGCACAGAGTTAAATTTGCGGGACACCAGGTCAGTGTCTGTGGAGAACTGAGTTAATTATCTGGTGGCATGGAAAAAAAACATACATGTAGGAATTGGTGTCAGAATTGGATCAAAGTGACATGACCAGTGACAAAGCATGCTGATGCTGTGGGAGACAGCTGTGAACAGAACAAGGACAATAGGCTAGGAACAGAAGGTCACCGAGGCGAAAAGCCCCAGGTGCCTAGCAATGGACAAACCTGGGAAAACAAGGACCTTGTCCCCAGGGTCACCTTCCCTCACTAGCACATTGCATGATCTTTTCTGTCACTGGCTGTGCGGTTTGGACCCCCATCTGAGCTTTCCTGCCCTGGCATGTCACCCCTGCAGAGGAAGGGGTGGTAGACCCCTGCAGAGGAAGAAGGAGGGGCAGGAGAACAGCCTCACTGAACCCCCATGCAAGCCCTTACGTGACCACTCCCCGAAGCATGGACCCTTCGGGATAACATCTCAGTCATGTCCCAGCTGCAGGCCCAGAAGAACAGCAAAACCAGACAAGTGTGCGGACCTCAGGACCAGCTGCAGTGACTATGAGCCCTTGCCTTGCACTGAGCAATCATTGGAAACCACTGCCCTGAAAGGATACACCTAGAAAGCTCATGAATATTCTATTGAGATCCTCCCCTGAAACCTCCCCTAAAATCTCCACCCTTAAAAGCCTTTAGGATGAGGACCCAGAGTGCTCTCCCTTGGGGAGCATGCCCGAACCATGTCGCCTCCCCAGGCCCGGTACCTCCACTCTTTTCTCTCCTAAGCTCCCAGGGCCCCCTTCCTTTGTCTCTGTTCTAAATAAACTGTATCTTACACTTTAAGTCTTGGCTCTGGGTCCTACTTTCCTAATGAGAATTCAAGTACTGAGGTTGCTGAACCAAGGTCTGGCTGACCCTACCTGTCTAACATCTGGTGTGGTTTTCTCACAGCTACCGCACCGCGTTGCAGGCCCCCTGACTGCAGGAGGCGAGAAAGGCACTTGACCGCTGTGACCTTCTTCCCAAAATTCTGTCACCCCAATCTGATCACCAAACATCAGACAAACCAAATGAAGGACAAACCAAATGAAGTATTCTATAAAATATTTGACCAGCACTCTTTGAAAGTGTCCAAGTTGTAAAAACCAAGGAAAGACTGAGAAATGGTCATAAGATTAGAGGAGACAAGGGAGCAAAGATGACTAAAGGCACTGTAGAATATTAATGAGAAAACTGATGACATTTTAATGCAGTCTCTAATGCAGTAAAACTTTAAATATCACCGATGACTGGCAAGGTAAGCCAAGGAAAGAGAAAGCTTCCGGCTGAGCAGACAGACAGGAATCACCAACAGTCTCGTGGCCCAGCCCACAGTGGCCCTTCTAAGGGTGAGATGAACACCCCGGGGGAGGACCCGGGCGAGGGATAGACATAGGACTGGGTGCACTGTTCGCAGAGATGGCCACAGCTGTTCCTTCCAGCCTTGGAGATACCCTAAGCGATGGGACTGTACTACTCCTGTCAAGACGGGGAGCCCAGTGTTCTCCACCCCCCAAATCTGGGCCGGCCATGTGATGGGTTTTGGGCAATAGAATGTGGCAGGCACAGTATCATGTGACTTTCCAGCGTTGGCTTCAAGAGACCATGCCACTTCCATCCTTGCCTTCATTTATCATTGAAAGAAACACTAAATTTTTAAGCAGAAGTGAGTGGAAAAAATGTTATTTTCCCTGTCCAAATCCCTGGATCCCTGAATTCTAAGGACCCAGGTTGAGAACCCCTGTCTGACAGCACTGGGCCAAGATGTTTGCATTTCCTTCAGAACCGCGGTGCAGGAATTTGCAGGCACTCCGGCTGGCTGGGGCGCCTGGCTCACACCACAGCCCACAGTGGTGAGCAGCGAGGGACCGCTGGGCCCGCCCCTCCCCCCACAGGCTGACACTGCTGCATCAGGGACTTTACACACAGCACTGCACTTGCTCCTCCCACAGCTCAGAGGTGGATCCTAGCATCCCCGTTTCCAGAAGGGAAAACTGAGACTGGGGGAGGAGGGTAAAGTAACAAACCCAAGGTCCCAGGGTTTTATAACTGGTGCTTCCTTCCTATCCCTCCACCCTGAGCACAAAGGAGGCAGGGCCCTTGGGAAACTGGGAGGAGGCCTCACACCCTGTCGCCCTGTCGTTTAATCTCCCTACTACCCTCTGAGGGTGTTACTTGTGTTTGTCGTCTGTGAATAAGCAGGCTGGTTGGACAACTGACGTCTGCCCTGACATCTAGAGTGGTGGAGGACGGTGTTCTGTGTTGATGCAAGAGGCACCTCAGGCCCTTCTCCCGGTGCCAGTGAAGGCAGAGAGGGCCCCAGCTTCATGGGGTTGAACTCAGCTGGGTTTTCAGGAGGCAAGCTGGGGCAGGCCGAGGCACATGGGGGACCGAAGGGGGCGGCGATGGGGCAGGTGGCAGAGGTGGGGGCAGACCTGTGCAGTGGGGGCCAGGGGGAAGAGCAGGGGCGGGGACAGTGGGGTCAAGCGGGCTGTCAGCTGGGGCCTTACCTTGTTCTCACAGTGGATCTTGGCTCCCGAGTTAACCAGGATCTGAAGAATCTGTAAGTGGCCGAACCAGGCAGACAGGAGAATCGCGTTCATCCCAAACTAGGGGAGAGGACAGCGGGGAGGAGGGTGTGAGGAGGCATGGCTGCAGTGCGAAATCATACCACCTAAGGGGCCATAAGTGCCACCCGGGCCAAGGAGCTCCTGGCTTTAAGAATTGAAAGTCCAGGAAATTTTTTAAAAACAGAGGTTGATGTACTATCGTAAACTTCGGCAGGGTGGGGAAGGGTACTAAATAAAACTCAGTGAAACAGATACTATCTGCTATCACTGTCATTTCATAAAGAGGGACCGTTGTTGTTACAGGGTGCAGCCAAGAGGGGGGATCCCAAATGGGCATTTGAAATGGGGTCCACAACTCAAGGCGTCCAGGAGATTTTAAGATGTCTTCACCCCTTCCCCCACAGGTGTGAGTTGGGGGAAGGGACACATGGAGCAAGAACCTGCAGGGCTGTTTTGTACAGCAACAACTTTGCAGCTAATCCATGGCATGGTCATTTAACATACCTATAGCCTTTGGCTGGTTGCTTAGATATGCTAAATAGCTGTGGCCATGCTCTGGGCCAGGGGGATGGAAAGGGACTCCCCCAACCCAAGATGTGACTGGGGGGGCAGGTCCCCTGGGTTACAGCGCCTGCATGGGAGCTCAGAAAAAGTTGGCTCCATGACATGGGGCCACACCTGCCCAGACCCACAATGACAGCCAGAAAGGCTGGAAAGGACGGGAGATTGAGGGCAAGTGTGGCCGAGTATGGGAGGAGTCGGAAATGAGGCTGCAGAGGAAGATTGGCTCGGGGATTTAAATCCAGACACAGCAACCACTGAGGAGAGAACCACACAGATTTGGCTGAGTGGGGACTCCCGTGGCCCTGGGGGAGAGAAGCACTAGGTTTTGGCTGAGTGGGGACTCCTGTGGCCCTGGGAGAGAGGACCACGCAGCTGGAGCAGTGGAGAGAGAACCTTGTGCCTTTGCCAGAGTGGGGACCCCCGCAGCATTAGTAGGGGGAACCACTACCCGGCTTTGGCAGAGACCCCTTTGGCAGAGACCCCGGCGACACAGCTGAGGGTGCCGAGAACCCAGGGAGGTCTCCCAGCCAAGACGGAGTACTGACTGGGAAGAACCGGGGGCTGCCTGAGCCAAGGACTTTTATTTCCTTTCCTGAGATACGGTACCCCAGACTGGGCAAAGGGGGAAGGAAGGACTGTGTGTGTTTGTGGGTGTTTTAAGGGACTTTAGGATTTTGATGAAGACATTAGGTCACTACTTTAAGTTTGTATAGTATTAAATAAACATTTCCTTTCCTTTTCACGAATCTCTGGCATTGAGAGACGTCTTTCCTATAGACGGTGGACATAACAGACCTGGGATTTTCTTTCTGTAATAGTCTATCATCCCAGGCCCCCCTTGTTCTGTAACATTGTGACACACACACAAAAAAAAATTGGAAGGAGCCAATCTCAGAAACACTCTTTGCAAATACAGTTTTCATGAAAACTACACCACATTGTTCTTATTCTCTGATTTCCTGTGACTGGTGAAGCCTTCCTCCTGGGCTGGTGTTTGAGAACCAGCCACTCAAATCTCCGACAGAACATCTTTCAGGCTGATGGAGTAAGTGAGCCCATGTGCAGGGACAGCAGCTCGCCACCGCACGAGACAGCCACCGTGAGAAAGCACCTCCCTGCACTCTGCTCGGACCTGCATCCCCGTGCTTTCCGCCCCATCGGCCCTCTGGGGCAACTGAGGATACGCTGGGGCCTTTGCCTAATGGCAGCCCAGCGTGTTCACAGGATGCTCTTCCTCAACACCGGCAGAGTGCTCCAGGGTCATCTGAGCCCCTTCACTGACCTCAGTCCTCAAGGGGTCCTGCCTCTGAGAGCAGTCCTCGCCCCACTTCCTCTGAGTCTTCCCCGCTCTGTGAAGAACACCCCTAAGCCTCCAAACTCACCTCCCAGGATGCATCGACAGCTAGCCGCCCTCCACGGTGACTTCACTCTCTCTCCTTGGCTGTGGTGGGATCAGGCCAGGTCTGAGCAGAACAGAGGCCTGGTGGACCATGGCCACTTTTGGCCCAGAGGCTGCGCTGTTTTCCCTCAGTGTTGGGCACCCCAAGGTGTGTCTGTAAGTCAGGTGTCGTTCATAGGCCAGAAATACGGCTCTAGTCCCTCAGCAAGGCCCAGGGCCTGTCATGTACAGAAAGAGCCCACAGTGGAGCCTCATTCTGATGCACCAAAGAATCTCCCCATGAGCATAAGGAGAAAGGCTCCCCGGTCCAGCTGGGACCAAAGATGCGAAGCCCACCTCATGAAGAACCAAGGTTGTCAGTCAGTGTCCCCCTAATCTGCTCCCACGCCAGCACGCTCCAAGCTCTAGGTTGTAGGGCAGCAGCCAGAGGACAGGGCGGGCTGGCTCCAAGTCCTGAATCAGCCTTAGTTTCAGTCTGGACCTGGACAGGGGTGGGGGGGCATCCCAGCACCTGTATGGAACTCCCTGGTCACAGCTGCCTCCCCACTGGCTCCACGGGAAGGGGTGACAGGAAAGGGGGTCTTCACGGCTGGCACCGGGTTTCCTCTTAGGTACCATGTTTACACAAAGGCTTTGACAAGTGGTTGGGGTGAAAGGTGAGACCCAGCAGTTACCGGAACACCCAAAGCAAGTTTCACAGCTCTGCTTTAGAAATGGGCGGGAACTGGGGGGAGGGGTGACAGAAGACAAGGCCAGGACTGAAGGAGGATGGGTGGGTGGGCTGCAGGGGAGCAGAGGCTGAGCCCACGACAAGGGAGGCACCAAAGGACTTTAAAGAACAGGAATGGAAAGGAGGATTTTAAGATGTTTACATTGTTTTCATGTAAAACCCCTCTGTCTCTTATCATGGACAGCCTGCCCCACACCAGAAGCCTTGCGTGTGGGTCTCCATGGAAGTCAGGGAGAGGAGCTGAGACCCATGTCAGGGGTGATTCCAGGGTGGAGACAAAGGGGTTTTTTAAAATAATTTTTTAATTTTTAATTACAGTTGACATACAATATTATATTATTGTTTGAGGTGCTCAACCCAGTGATTGGACATTTATATAACTTACAAAGCAATCACTCCAATAAATCTAGTACCTACTGACACCATGCATACAAAGTGGGGCAAAAGTAGGTTTACAGTTGCATCGAAAATAATATAATAATTAATAAATAAGAATATAAGAATAAACTCTGTTTTGTACACTCACAACTGTAAACCTACTTTTGCCCCACCCTGTAGTTCTTACAATATTATTTTTTAAAATATTGTATTTATTTATTTTAGAGAGATGGGAAGGGAGGGAGAGAGGGAGAGAAACATCAATTGGTTGCCTCTTGCACACCCCCAACTGGGTACCTGGGCCAAACACATGTGCTCTGACTGGGAATCAAACCAGCAACCTTTTGGTTCCCAGGCCGGCACTCAGTCCACTGAGTCACACCAGCCAGGACAGTTATTACAATATTATTAACTGTATTCCCTATGCTGTACTTTATATCCCCATGACTATTCTGCAACAACCAATTTGTACTTCTTAACTGCTTCACCTTTTTCACCCACCCTCCCAACTTCCTTCCCATCTGGCAGCCTTCCAAATGTTCTCTGTGTCTGTGAGAGACAAAGGGGTTTTTTTGCAAAATTTAAGAGGACAGCAAAAATTGAGCAGCAGCTGAAAGTAAAAGCCAGCAGTGAGCACAAGAATTTAAGACCTTTCTCCTGAAATCTTAGGGAAGGTGCAGAATCTGCCACAGCACCTCCCGTGAGGACTGGAGCTGGCCTTAGGTAGAGCAGAGAGGCTCGGAGACCCAGCCAGACTCAGAGCACAGTCCCTGGGAGAACATCGGCAACTGCGGTCTGGCTGGGCGAGGGAGGGAATGGATGAGCCTAGGGCAGAGTTCCGGAGCTTGGGAATCGAAAGGGTTAAGGCTTCTGGCTGGGGGAGGAGAGTCGTGCAAGCCCCAACCTGCTGCCACTGGGACGCGAGTCCTGGTTCTAGGCACTTCCCAGAGCAGACCCCTCTGGCACATCACTGAAGACCAACAGCAGATTTCCCCTCTCCTGTGTCTCCTCCGCCCTCCTGTTACCACCAGCCTTCTTATTTTTCAAGATACATTCATTGCTATTTGCAAAGAAAATGGATTTATGGAAGCAGTCTCTTACTCTTCTCCCTCATGTCTTCTCTTCTCACCCAGCCCCCCAAAGAAGGAACCACTGAGCACAGTGGTCACGGCGAGGTCTTAGTGGGCAAAGGGCTGACCCAAGAGGGTCCGGAGTTTTACTGGGAAACTCAGGTTGAGGGTCCCAGACATTCCCCTTCCACAGTCACCTCTGAAGGAGGCCTGAGCAGGTGCAGGGAGGGGTGGGGGGGCAGGCTGTAACCAGGCCCGCCCCTCGGAGGGACCTGGAAGCAGAGAGAAGCCGGGACAAAGAAAAGAATTTCCACGAATGCTAAGTATCTGCCAGGAAAAGTTTATAATTTTTGTTTGTTTGTTTTGGGTTTATTTTTTTATTTGATCTCAAATAATTTTACTTTAATTTTACTGATATAGTTAATAATTTTAATTATAGATGCATTTAAAGGAATTTTAGATTATAAAGAAAAACAACTATGATAATTGTTTAAATAATGATAATTATTTAAATTATAATGTGGTACCTGTGGGTTTATTCCAATATATAATTCTTTAAATTTAAATTTAGGTTATTTTTTTAATCCCCACCTGAGGATATGTTTTATTGATTTTTTTTAGAGAGAAAGGAAGGGGGAGAGAGAGGGAAAGAGAGAAACATCGATGTGGGGGAGGAACATCGATTGGTTGCCTGCCTTACACACCCGACCGGGGATCAAACCCGACACCCAGGTATGTGCCCTCAAACCTTAAAACTTTCAGTGTATGGGACAGCGCTCCAACCAACTGAGCCACCTGGCCAGGGCTAAATCTAGACTCTTAAATGTATCCCTGTCAAATGTCATTGTCAGATTCAGCCCTTTCCCCAAACCTGTAGAGCTAATTTTGTAGATGCCGTTACTCTTCAGGGCTCTGTCTCAGCAATGTGCTGCCTGCCGATCTGTTAAGTAAGACTGGTGGTCTTTATGTAAAGTGTTGGTTAAAGAATTAGCTAGGCCAGGCCCTGGCTGGTGTGGCTCAGAGGACTGAGTGCCAGCCAGTGAACCAAAGGGTCGCCAGTTCCATTCCCAGTCAGGGCACATGCCTGGGTTGTGGGGCCAGGTCCCCAGTGAGAAGTGTGTGAGAGGCAACCACACATTGATGTTTCTCTACCTCTCTTTCTCCCTCCCTTCCCCTCTCTCTAAAAATAAATAAATAAAATCTTTAAAAAAAGAATTAGGCAGGACAAGTCTTGTGGCATATCATGAGAGAATTGCCTCCTGATGCCTTTACTAATAAGGCCTTTAATAATCCACCCAATTATCTGTTCTACAGTCCAGATCTCTGCTTGCTCACATGATATCAGGAGGAACGGAAAAGGCTCTCTGAGGATAGAAAGGCCCTTGAAAATGGAGAGGTCTTTGTAACTGCAAGGAGTAAGTGGGACCAGTGCAGTGTCAAAGCCCTTAAGGACTTAGACTCCCTGCCCGCCCTGCACATCTGAGTGTCGTCGGCCACCTGGCAACAACAGCTGGCTCATAGACTCAGAGTGAGCTCTGATTGCCCCTCCTCTACCCCAAGACAGACAGACAGACATGCACACACAGACACGCCTCCCCAAAAGGGCCCCGTACCGCGTCCACGTCGTCCACAGCGGCCTCATGCTCCAGAAGCAGCCGTACAGCTTGTTCGTGCCCCGCGCCTGCGGCCCAGTGCAGGGCCACCCTGCCCACCTGCCAGGAGTGAGAGGAGTCCTGTGAAGTGCTGGCTGGCTGCCCGGCCCAACCCCCACACTCTTCCCACCAGGGAGCTTCCGGGCCAGGAAGCTGGTCTGCGATGGAAGGAACTTTGCTGGCTCTGGTGACCAGCCCCACCCTGGCCCCCTCCTCCACACAGCGGCAGCTGAAATGCATGTAGTAAAACACAGCGACCAGATCCATCTGTCCCCCACCTAAAACTTCACAGCTCCCACTGCTCTTGGGACAAACTGCAAGGCCAGGCCTTACCTGCCACTGCTTCTCAGAAATGCCAGCCTCCCCTCTGAGTCTGTTACTGTGGCCAAGCCCCTGAGGGCCCCTGAGGGCCTGGGCTCTGTTCCCTCCTCCCCTCAGAATGGGGCTGAAGGGGCCTGGCCCCGCCCCTCATTCTCAGACCACCCTGGCAGCTCATCATGGTCTCTGGCCTTGGTCACGTCTGAGCAGGCCTGGGGGAAGCCAGCGTCCCTCCACAATGCTCTGCTTGCGAGGGGACAACGACAGGAAACAACGAATTTTCTGTGTGGTGTCTCTAGGGACCAGTCGTTCTTTCCTCAAGGCTTCTGCCCGTGCTGTCCTCTCTGCCTAGAGCACTGTCCTTCACCGGTTCCTACAGAAACACCTCTTCCTGATGCCTTCCTGACCTCTACCTTGACCCCTCAGGTGGGGTGAGCCCCTTCCAACCTCCACATGCTGTCAACTGCATCACAGTGGGGAGTAACTCTTTGAGATACTCTGTGTACTGTCAGTCCTGCCCCACCAGACTATCAGCTCCAAGAGGGAAGGCATCATGTCTGCCATGGGTTCTGCTCCGTCCCTAGCACCTAGCACAGTGCTGGCATGGGCTAGCAAGCCGTCATAAATATATATAGATTGAATGAATCAATGAATGAATGAATGGAATGAATGAATGAACAAGTCTGGCATTAGCAGCCTATCACCCAGCAGGTCCATGTTTTCTTGCTAGTGCTTCTCCAGAGACTGACACCGAGGCTCCAGTCACCGGTAACTTGCTGTGTGACCTGAGATGACTTGCTGCCCGCTCTGCGCCTGCCTCAATATACAGGCAGGACTAATACTTTCTGCCCTCCTCACCTCTCCAGGGGCGAGTGAGGACCACTGGGAAACAGGCAGACAAGTGTCCTAAAAACCCCAGAGTGTCTGTTACTAAGTACTGAGTCCCAGGCAGGCCCTGAAGACCCAGGTCACACCCCTGCTGTGTCACCCCAGGCAGAGAAGCTTCGCTGCAGTCAGAAATCCGGCATCAAAACTTTTCAAACTCCACTGGCCGGATGACCAGGCTGTCCTCTCCTCTAAGGTGCTCTTGACAGCCAGGGCCCCACGGCAGGGAGATGATGCTACCCCCGGTGGTACTCAGGCCTATCCTCAGTGTCCCCCACCAGAAGGAATGGCTTTTCCTTGTCCCCTTCCCCAGCAGGGTTGTCACCCCCCCTCACCCGCAGCCTTCCCTGAGGCCTGGTCAGCAGGGCTGGTCTGCCTCCCATCCTAGTCTTTGAGTCCCCGAGGGCAAGCGGGGTCCCACAGCAGCTTTACATACTCAGTGGGTGCCGAGGGCCCTCAGAGAACTGAGCTAAGTTTCTGCCTCATGCGTGCTCAGCCTCTTCTGGTTTGGTCTCGCTTGGTCTCAAACCGCTGACTTCTGACCAGAGCCAGCGCTCCACCTTTGCCCTCCAGGTGTTTGCCTCCATCGACCTATCTGCCAGCCTCTTACTCCTGACCTTTGACCCCCTGGTGTCCTGGCTCTAACTTTTGTTTCTTGGGCATCCCTTTCAGGTGGGCCACAGGGGTTAAGACTATAAACTCTGGAATTGCTGAAGCCTGGCCCAGAGTCCTGACCCTGACCTTGGGCGAGGGCTCAGAGACCTTAAGACAATGTGGACAACCTGAGCCTCACTCCAGTGAACCCATGCAAACACGGGCTCCACGAACTGTCCCTCCACGGTGGAGATGTCCGCACCACACTGGCCCCATCCTGCCTGAGTTGGAGGAGCCTGTTTACGCACCTGGTTTCTGGCCCTGACGTTGACTCTTCTCCCAATCAGCTCCTTCATTCTCCCGATGTTGTTCCGGCGGGCGGCCTCGTGGAGCTGCCTCTCCAGAGGATGCACTGAGGGGGTAAAAGGGATGTGGAATGAGGGGGGTCCCCACACTGAATGTCGAGGAGCAGCGAACAGACCTTCCCTGGCCCTGAATGTGTCCTGGGCCCGGGTCTTCCAGAGGAACAGAGGGTGGAGGTGGGGAGGAGATACCTCTTTTCTATCTCTGTCGGGGCTTCCCTAGACAAGTTGTTTTCCTTTTTTAAAAAAATGTTATTTATGGATTTTAGAGACAGAAAGGAAGGTCAGAAAGAGTAAGAGAAGAACAATAATTTGTTGTTCTACTTATTGATGCATTCACTGATGTTTCTTGTATGTGCCCTGACTGGGGATTGAACCTATGACCTTGGCATATTGGGACAAGGCCCTAACCAACTTATCTACCCAGCCAGGGCCTATTGTTTTTCCTTCTGACTCACCACTTGTGCACATGACCAGGACTCTGCAAATCTTGAAGATGGGAGACTATGGGCAAGGCCATCCACAGAGCTAAGTGTGTGCCCCTCACCCTCAGAGGTATCCCATCATCTAGGTCTCATGTCTTCTCCCCAGAAACACTCTTAGGGAAAGAGTGGAATTCATTCCCCCTGGGGTGGATAGCTGCCTTTTTCACTGTGTTATATAGAAAACAGCCAGGATCCACTGAGCCATCTATTGCATCAGGCCCTGCAGAGGCCAGAGGCATGTTCACCCGGCTTCTTTGTCCTCATCTCTCCACCTCTTCTCCTCTCTCCCAGCTCGGGGCCCACTCTGATTGCCTTCTCTGTGATCTTTCTGCACACTTCTCACCCTCATCATTGCCCCTTTACCTAAGACAGCCTCAGACTAGAGGGAACCTCAGAGCTTCCCTGCCAGGCCCCTGCCATGGGCAGCAGTGGGCTTAGAGCAGGGACGTCAAACTCATTTTCACTGGGGGCCACATCAGCCTTGCGGTTGCCTTCAAAGGGCTGAAATAATTTCAGGACTGTATAAATGTAACTACTCCTTAATTAGGGGCAGGGGGTTCGGCGCTGCCACCAGGCAGAAACAAGGTGCCGGGCTGGATAAAACAAGGTGGAGGGCCAGATTCAGCCCATGGACCTTGTGTTTGCCACCCATGGCTTAGTGGGTTGGTGGCCAAGTCAGGAGGAATCAGGCCTGGTGACCCCCCATGCTGCTATCATCCTCACTGCCCTTAGCTTGTGAAGATGTCAGATCTCTCCGGCTTGGCCTCAATCTCCTTGGGGGCCCTGGCCACATAGGACAATCCACCCAGAGCTCACAGCAGGCCCAAAGCTGGGCACAGGGAGGAATCCACAAAACTCTGCTTCCATGAATGACACCAATAATCTCCAGAGTAATAGATGCCTATCCCTCCTCCAAAAACCTTAGACACACTAACACAAGGGACAAATATGCCCTGGCCCTTTGCACAGTCATCACAGGGAGGTAATTGTGTGGTTTTCTTGATGCCAAACCTACATCCTGCGTGTGTGGTCCAGTGTGAATGTCCAAACCCAGCCACTGTCTGTCTAGGGACAGGTGGCCAGCGTCTGGCGGGGGAGGCTAACGATGCATCAAAGTGACAGATAGGCCTACGCTCAGTTTGTTTCTCCTGATAAATTCTGCACGGCCTTCCGGATGTGGGAGAGGGTCCTGGGCTTCCCGTTGCCTCACAGACACAACCTGTGGACCTCAGAGCTGCTACCCCCGCGACAATCGGCTCTGACTAAGTCACTGCATGGCTGTATGACTTAGTTATTGAATTATCCTGCACCTCAGTTTTCTCATATTTCAAACGGGGATACAAGTTGCTCTGCAGGGTGATTGCTAATGATTAGATACGAGATACGAAAAGCCTCTAGCATGGTATCTGGCAAACAGTGCCATAACCATCGTCACTAATATTTCTCCAAGGCAAAGGGTCAGCAATTCAATTCTGGGAGCCAAAGACCTGAAAGTGGCCAGACCTCCTTCATTCAGGGCTGTCTGAACCAGTGAAGCCCCCACCAAGGAAAGCACCCTCCCTACCAACCCCCCTGCATCATTGTCCTCCATAGCGCCTCTCATCATTGGCACATGCTCTATTTACAAATTTAAGTTTAGTGTCTGCTTCCCCCATTACAATATAAACCCATGAGGGGAGAGATTTTTCTCTGGTTTGTTAACTATTGTATCCTCAAATTCAGGCCCTGGCACATGTTTGTTGAATGAATGAGTGACACACAAATCATTAAATCTCTTCGGGGACCTTTGAACTATAAAATGCTGCCCAGTGAAGACTCATTAGCCCCATTGAAAACCAAGCCTTAAGTGCAGGTAAATGACAGGAGAAAAAAATCCCCAGGGGAAAGCAGCTTCTTGTTGATACTTCAGGGGATGGAGAAAACATCAGCTTCCAAGTGGGGTCCACACCGGTAGCTCCAGCCTTCCCCCACTCCAAAGCAGCCTGCCTGCCCTGCAGGTGAGGGGAAGGCCCTTCTGGAAGGGTCCCTCTCAGATCTCAAATCTTCCTGGGGTCCCTAGGTCCCCAGCTTTTCTTTCCTCAGCCTCTTGGCTGAAAGCTGCCGTGGTCCAGGTTTGGGAAAAGAGCTGGCACTTGGGGTGTGAGCTTAGAGAAGCTGGGGTTTTAGTACCCACATCGACACTTTCTAGAAGCAGGATCCTGGGCTGGTCACGACCCCCTGGGGCGGTGGTGGGGGGGCAGGTCTCGATTTCTCCAGCTGTATAACTGGGGGAGGGTGGAGGAAGTGATCTGAAGAGATCTCTTCCAGCCTAGACTTCCCTTCTCCCAGCGGAAGCCTAGAGGGAGCGGTTGAGTTTGGGAGCCGTCGGGTTTGTGCGGCAGACAGCCGGGAGTCAGCCTGGAGTCAGAATGCGAGCGAGCAGACCCCGCAGAGCACCAGTAAGATCAAGTCTCATCTCTTTCCTCCACCGGCACCCACGCACCCTCTGTGGCCATATCAAATACGCACTGCACTCTGGCCTCTGGGCTTTTGGCGGGGCTGGGTCCTCTGCCCAGACTTCCACCCCACACACCCCAATGAACCTTGCTGTGCGTAGTTAAGGTCCTGATCGTGTGATCCTCTGCCCCGGGAAGAAACTGTACACTTTGAAACAGCACCTTGAAAGAGCCCCTCACCCAACCCCCATCCCAGTGAGGACAGTGGCACCAGCCTTCTCACCCCTCTCTCAGCTAAAGCCCCCTAAGGCCAACCGATGCCAACGTGGACGTGCTGCCTGACCTCGAGGCCCGGACACTGGGCCCACTCCTTGAGTGAGGCTCTGGGTGCCCTTATCCCACCTGCAGCACACCATTGCCCCTCTCCTCTGGGTTTCAGTTTCCCCATCTGGTACGGTTTCCACGCTCCAACCAGCCCCGACATGCTGGGGAGGCTGAGGCCTTCAGCGTGTCTACCACTTAATGACTGTGTGCCCTTGGGCCATTTATTTAAGCATCGCCTGCCTCAGCTTTCTCTAATGCAAAAATGGAGATAGCAGTAGGTCCTACCCGTTGGGCTGCTATGAAGATCAAATAGCGTGCCTGTCCCGGCTTGGCCTGGCACACAAACTAAGTACTCAATAAAGGATCGCATTACCACCTTATTTCTAGCTAATGTCTCCGGCGCGGGGCCAGTGTGCCCTCGGCCCCGTGCGCGTTCCTTTTGGCACCACAAAGGAGCCCAAAACGGAGGTGGACACGCGGACCGTGCCAATCCCAGCCTGGGTCGCCCCCACGGGGCTCGGGGGATGCTCTCGGCCCCTGCTCGCTCCCGCCCCCCACCCTGGCCTCCCGGCCCCGCTGACTCACAGCCGTCAGTCTCCCACGGCAGGTGCTCCCCCATGCCGCCGCTTCGCAACCTTTGCGCGCTCCCGGCCCGGAGCCAGCCCGCCAGCCGCGCGTCCGCCAGGGCGGGGCAGCAGTGGAGGGGAGTGGGCTCAGAGCTGGGGCGGGGAGCAGCGAGAAGCGGGCGGGCGTCAGCCACACCTCCAGACGTTCGTGCCGCCTCGGCCCCTGAGGACCAAGTCGGCGCAGCTCTGCAGCCTCTCCCTGCCCCGCTCCATCCCGGTCCAGGCTGCTGGTCCCTCCTTGGGCTCCCTGGTCCTGTCCACAGCTCAGCGCCTTTCCCACCCATTGTCCAGCAGGTAGGGGCCGCTCTGGGCTCCGTAGCCCCCCCTGGGCGTGTCTCTCCCGCAGGAGCTGCCCCAGCCTCTAGCGTCCAGTGGTGCACGTAAGGCCTCCCGCAGGCCCCATCCTTGGGGTCTTGGGGAGGCTTTTAAGGAACAGAAACCCCAGCAAGCCTACAAGCGTATGAAAAGATGGTCAGATTTCTTCGTGATCAGAAAAATACAACTTAAAATGATAATGAAATGCCACGTATACCGATTAGGCTGGCAGAAATTAGAAAGCTGAATAATGCCACACCTTGGTGGGGACTGAGGAGCTGTCACTGCTGGTGGGCGTAGCCTGGGACAGCCATTCTGAAATGCAGTCTGGCAACAATGAGGGACACTACAGACTGCAAACTGTCACCCTAAAATCCAGCTCCTCCTCTTCCTGGTCACCTGTAAAACCCATGGGTTGCAGGCAGGGTCTGTGAGTGGTCCAGCCGGATGGTCCCTGGCTGGGCACAGCGGTGACCTTTCTCCAGGTCACTCATGAGGAGCTGAAGGTCCCCCAACACTGGTGACAGGTTTCTCCACACAAGACAGGACCTCTTGGCTTTTCCTTATTCTTACTTCATGTCTTAAGAAATTAGAAGTTTTTAGGTTTTGTTTTGTTCTTAAACAAAAGAGAACCATGACTGGTGTTCTGCAGTCTGCCTAGTTGATTTCACGCTCCTTTGCTATTTGAGTGGCGTTCTGTTAGAAAGGCGGCATCCCAGGCCCCAGCCCAGCCCTGCTGAATCAGAACCTGCATTACAACAAGGTCCCCGATGATTCCTGCTCGTGCTGAACTAGGAGAAGCACTGCTCTAGGCTGTCCACACCACTTCGCCCCAACCCACCTTTTACAGGCTTTTATTGTGATACTTTCCACAAGCAGACCTAATCTCTTGTCCTGTCTCCATTTACCCATTGCCAGCTGTGAAGCAGCCCCTGTGTCAGCCCCGGGTCAGCATCATCTCCTGTGCTCTGCCCACCTGCCGTGTGAGGTAATGCTGTCGTCAAATTCTTTTTCAAGGAGAAGACTATTGTGCACAAACAGTCTCAAGACCTGAGGGACCACAGGCCTGAGGCTCCCACAGCCAATAGGTGGCCGATTCAAAAACAGCAGGTAAGCCACAGAGCTGCCAGCACCAAGGCCAAGGCTGTGGTGCCTGCTTCTGCGCATGCCCCACAGGAGGATGGGAACACAGTGTCAGGACACAGTCTGTGATCGCCCGTGTCACCTTACAGGGGTGCACACCTCCCTCTGAGTCCCAGGGCCACTCGCTGGGCGTCTGGAGGTCTCTGCTGGGGTCGAATGCACTGCAGTCCTCAGAGAAGCCCAGGTCTGCAGTGCATCCCACCTGCTCCCCATTCTGAGATACTTTGGTTCTGGGCCTCTGAAACTGGTGTGTTCATACTCTGGGGTACACAGTGGTAGACAAGGGGCACAGGAAAACCCAATCAAAACCTCAATTTTACATGATACCTGGGAGGCAGTGGGAAAGTTGCATTTTTTAAAAGAAAGCAACCATGGTTTTACAAGTACAGGTACGGATGCAAAATCCAGTGGGTCACTGTGGACAAGGCCACAGAGCTTTGAGTGTTCCCACTGCTCTATCTCTGGGGGTATTGGGAGGAAATATTTCGGGGAGCCAGACACTGGCTCAGCCCTTTTTCTGTTCCTGCCAGGATGCAGAGCCCATGTCACTGTGCAGCCCCAGCACTCACCACACACACACACACACACACATACACACATGTGCATGCACACACATGTGTGCACACACTAACTGTCTCCATGTCGTTCTCAAGGTAGGTAGTACCCAGCTTCACATATGTGCTGCCTCCATCCCTTTGGCATCAGAGACTGTGGGGTCGAGGGACAAGAAGGACATGTAATTCAGAGACCACCAGAATTGACATGGATGGACAGAGGGCCTGAGAGCACAGAGCTGGGCTTCGGGGTAGGGGATAAGGGCTGGCTTCAGGACCTGTGTGAGTCTTGTGACAGAGGGACGTGATTGACCTTAACACTGATTAGAAATAAGGGGAAATATGAAAGTGAGGAAAAATAGATGAAAATCTTGGGTTAGACTTCCAGTCAAGGTGGCAACATAGGTAAACCAGCTGGCCTCTTCACATAACACATCAAAATTACAACTAAAGTATAGAACAACCATCACTTAGAACTGTCAGAAATCCAGTTGAATGGAAGTCTGACAACTACGGAATAAAAAAAAAAACACCTCCATCCAGACACAGAATGGGCTGGTCCCTCACCCACATGTGGTGGATAAAAATTAAGGAGGGCTGTCTCAGGAGCAAGGAGTCCCAGTCTGACACAAGGCCCCCTAGCCCAGGGTTCCAGTGCCAGGAAGATAAGTCCCCACCACTTCTGGCTGCAAAAACCAGCAGGGATTGGGTAAGTGGACAAAACTTCTGGAGACCCAAGCAGTTCCTCTTAAAGAACCCACACACGGACCCACCTACTCAGACTCACTCCCTCTGAGCTCCAGCACCTGGATAGCAGCTCGAAAGGCACCAGTGGCAGTGAGGGAGAAACTGAAGTGTCTGGCATCAAGGCAAACAGATGTCATTGTTCCTTTTCTAAACCCTCCCCCCAAAGAGCCATAGAGCCAGCAAGCTGATGCCACATCCGAGACTCCATCAGCCTGGCTAATATTGTTCAACCCACCTTGGAGATGCCCAGAGACTCCACAGCATCCAGCTTATGGTCCCACCCAAACTTCTTTTCCATATGAATGGCTGGTCTTGACTCTTGCTTCACAACTTCCTAAATCCTATCAAACAAGCAACAGCTGGCCTCAGTGAGCCCCAGGCCTGGCACTAGCAGCAGCCAGCCTAGTTTCACAGCTTCTCTTTGCCTGGGCATCTCCAAGTCCAGCATAAGTAGCATCTCAGATTGCTTTATAGCTCAGGAAGGGTTGCCCAGGGCAAAACACAGGTAGGGGCTGATCTTGGCCAGAACCACCCAGGAAACCCCAGGGCCAGTGCACCCAGTGGACACCCTGCCCCTGCACGGCTGATCCTCCATGGAAGGTGGAGGTTGATGGTAGGTAGTCACCTACCATCCTTGCAGCCAATCCTTGCAGCTGACTGGCCTGAATAAATCCGTCCCATTAATCTGCCAACAGCAAACAAGGCTCAATTACAAGAGGAGGGCATACTAAGGGTACACCTCAGTACCTGAGGGGATGCTGTGCCACTGGACCCTACAGGACACCTTCTACATTAGGCTACACTGCCAAGACACAGAGTCAAAGCAGCTCTACCTAATACATAGAAACAAATACAGGGAGGCTGCCAAAATAAGGAGACAAAGAAACATGGCCCAAATGAAAGAACAGATCAAAACTCCAGAAAAAGAGCTAAATGAAATGGAGGTAAGCAATCTATCAGATGCAGAGTTCAAAACTCTGGTTATAAGGATGCTCAAGGAACTTAGTGAGAACCTCAACAGCATAAAAATGATCCAGTCAGAAACAAAGGATACACTAATTGAAATAAAGAATAATTTACGGGAAACGACAATAAAGTGGATGAAGCCAAGAATCAAATCAATGATTAGGAACATAAGAAAGCAAAAAAAAAAAAAAAAAAAAATCAATCAGAACAACAAAAAGAAAAAAGAATCCAAAAAATGAGGATGGTACAAGCAGCCTCTGGGACAACTTCCAGAGGTCCAACATTCACATCATAGAGGTGCCAGAAGGAGAAAAAAAAGAGCAAGAAATTGGAAATCTATTTGAAAAAAATAATGAAAGAAAACTTCCCTAATTTGGTGAAGGAAATAGACATGCAAGTCCAAGAAGCACAGAGAGTCCCAAACAAGATGGAAACAAAGAAGCCCACTCCAAGACACATCAGAATTAAATGCCAAAGTTAAAGATAAAGAGGGGATTTTAAAAGCAGCAATAGAAAAGTTAGTTACCTACAGGGGAGTTCCCATAAGACTGTCAGCTGATTTCACAAAAGAAATTTTTCAGGCTAAAAGGGATTGGCAAGAAATATTCAGTCATGCAAAGCAGGGACCTACAGCCAAGATTGCTCTACCCAGCAAAGCTATCATTTAGAATCAAAGGGCAAATAAAGAGCTTCCCAGACAAGAAAAAACTAAAGGAGTTCATCATCACCAAACCATTATTATATGAAATGTTAAAAGGACGTATTTAAGAAAAAGAAGGTAAAACTATGAACAATAAAATGGCAAAAAATACAAATCTATCAACAACTGAATCTAAAAAACAAACTAAGCAAATAAGAAGAACAGAGACAGAATCATGGATACAGAGGGCATTTTGATGGTTGTCAGATGGCAGGGGGGTGTGGGGGAATGGGTGGGAGGTGAGAGGATTAAGAAGGACAAATAGGTAGTTACAGAATAGCCATGGGAATGTAAAGTACAGTGTAGGAAATAGAGTAGCCAAAGAACCTATATGCATGACCCATGGACATGAACAAATGCGTGGGGATTGCCTGAGGAGTGGGGGGTGCTGGGTGGAGGGGGGCAAAGGGGGAAAATTGGGAAAATTGTAATAGTGTAATCAATAAAATATATTTTTAAAAAGAAAAGCTCATTTTGTCTGTGGAAAAAATAATGCCAATTATTGTCATTTATGAGCTCTACACATCAGTTTAGCCTGTTGACTTGGTGGCTTAGTAATGCGTATCGT